TTCTGGAATTGACATTTGAGCTATTCTTGATTTGTCTCAATTCCTTGCATTCTGCAAAATAGATGATGATGATTATGATGACAAAATAGACCAATGGTTGATCAAAAGCTGGGCTTAGCAAATCAGCCTCAAATAATTACGAGATTGAAGACTCCTATTTAACATGCTGTACTACTGCATTAGGCATCTTCTCTGTTCGAAGAATTACGATGGCCATCTTAGGTTAATGCTGGTTTTGCTGACTCCTGTGTCACTCAGCCACATCAATGTATTTGTTTAATTAATATTGATTTTCATGTTTCATGCTTTACATTAGACATGCATATAAAAGCCTGAACACACATTTAGCCTGGAATAAGTTATGAGAATGCTTGTAGCTATATAAATGAATCACACACTCTTAGTATAGATTTGTTTCTTTGAAATATTACAGTTAGCATCTTCTAATTGCATTTGACTGACATTCTAATCAATATATGGATAAGTACAGCTGGTTCACCTGGATTACAACTCCTAACACACAGTTCACTGTCTTAACGAAGATCAGAGCTAAGCCCAAATTGTTTCGTCACATTTATAAATGCCATGTGCGATGTTCCGTGGTTTATTGGTGAGTCATTGGCCTTGAGATCTACCATCGAGGTAATTTGGCAGAAAATGTGTGATACCAGGGTGAAGCAGGAAGATTGGATGAAAATGTTGGTGAAGGTATATGTGAAAGCAAGTCCCAGGGAGGACACTAATCACTGCTGTTTGTAGTAGCGAAACAGAACCCACAGTTACAACTGATGCTAAATCCCCATGGGCTCATTAACATCCCTGTCGATACTTTTCACCAGCCAACCGCTACCTTATAAAATGCCAGCCGCTATTGTTAGCGACTGGCCACTAGTTACCGACTGCATCATTTTAATAGTGACGTCACAGAGTGACCAGCCGCTACTGAAAGCTGTTTGAAAAGTTAGGGCTAATAGCTACTAATTATTTTCTAAGGAAACTGCTAACCCCTACTTATCTACTGCTTTCCACCTGGTTTCCAAACCTGTCACTACGCAATACTGTCTGCCCCAACCCAAAAAACCTAACATCAGCAACTAGCCTGATGGAAAGAGGTAAATGAAAGCTAAATCCATGTACATACTATTGAAACAAAATGGCTTGTTCCAACGATGCGTATGCATAGTGGCAGCTATTATTAGAGAGAGTTTACAAAAATTTAGCAACAATATTGTAAACCTCGTGGTAATTGCTATCTGCTAAAAGCTACCAGCTGTTGTTAATAGCAAGTCGACAGCTTACTGCTACTATTTTGCTACAAGGTTGTCTTCAACAAAGACATTTTTGGAATTTTTTAACTTTGACTTCCTGCAATTTCTTTTCTTGTGATGCCTGGTAATTGCTACAATTCTATTTTCAGTGACAAGGAACTGGAGCCCCACCAATACAGTGGGTGGAACATAACAGCCTAGAGGGGAACACTCTATTGACAGTTGTGTCATGAGAAATTCTGTTAATCCCAGCCTGAGTGGAGCTGGGAGATCTTTCTTGCTTTATTGGATATGTGAACGAGCCCTTCGTGTAACCAAGCTCCATTTGCCTCACTGCGAGGTTCTTTAGAAGAAGGTCTATGATTTCTATTAACTAGGCCAGAAAAATTATGAAAATTTATTGAAGACGTTTTAGTATAATTTCAGTTGGAGGTTTGACAGTAGAAAGAGGAAAGAGTTTAATTTTATTTGGAATAGCATTAACAGTTAACTAAAAGAACACTCCAGCCACCATAATAACGTAATCTCAATAAAGCTGCTATTGGGGGTCCAGTTCCTGGTAGCTGTCTTATCTTATGGGGTTAAACTGTTTTTGAATGGTTTAACCCCCAAGTTGTCCTCCCAGCGTTCATCTGCTCTGTCCATAGATTTTCAACTCCTCATTCTAAGCCAATCTCTGGCGCTCCATGGAAAATGTCAATGAGGCATAGCAGACAGAATCGTAGAGAAAACTTAAGAGTTAAAGGACTCAAAAATGGTTTAACTCTATAAGGTAAAACAGAGCCTAGGATCTCCAGCCCCCATAATGACTTAATTAAGATAAAATTGTTATGGAGTTATGGTGTTCCTTTTATGTTTGTTGGGAGAGGTTAAATGCAGTTCATTCGCCCTTCTGCACCCCTCATTTCAAATTTGCATTTTTCATCTGTTCTTTATATATATTTGCAGGTGGAATACTGTGCTCGTTGCCATTTTTACGAAGGATAAGTATTTCAGGGTGGTATTAAGAAAACTTTAAACAGTAGTCTGCAGTCATTATTGCAACACAATCCCAAAATATGCAATCATAAGCATCTCCCTAATTAACTTTTCTGTAAACAAGTAGAATGTCCCTTTAATGCATCCTGATGTCCTATTTATACCCTCAGTATTATATTTTACTGGCTAGATGTAATCAGATTTCAAATGGCAGTGATAGGAGAGAAGTGCAACATTTTGTCTAAAGTTCATTCATCAAAAAACTACATTGTTTTGAAAAGGGTAAAGGACCGCTAAACCTATCAGGGATAAGTAAAGGCTACATACTATAGATTATTTTAATCCCCAGCTAGATATAAAATGGATAATTACATATTTGTGGTTGAAGTCATGTGGTGGAAAAATCAATACAACTTTTTGTATGACACCTTCATTAGTGTGAAAAATGTTAAAAGCTGAAAAGAACTCCACTGCAATTAAATGTCTGTGCTACCAGAGCTTCTCTAATGGGATTGTATTATTAGTTAGTTTATTTGAAATAGTGGTTGCAGGATAGCAGTAATTGGAAAACATTGATTATGAACTTGTATACGGAAAACCTTGCTAAATCATTACGGGATCAAGCTGCAGTTAGTTAGCCTCACTAATGAAGCACTAATTGCTGTAACTAGGTTAACATGTTAGTGAAAGTGCAAGGAAATGCAAAAAAGAAATGTTTTAGCTACAAAACATCGGATCTGATACATTCTGAATCGTTACGTTTATTCGTGAGCCAATGTGATTTGTGAGGAAATTTGTGAGGAAATTCTTTAAAATACTATGTTTACTGAGCTTAATATCATCTACCTTGAGGTCATTTTTATAATATTCCCATGATCCTATTTGTTTCTTGTCATATAATTACTATGAATCATGTGACCTCAATGCTAGGCTATCTCAAAGAATTCAGAATAGAAAGATTTGTATTTATTATTTCCATGAGAAGAAACAGGAAAATTGTAGATTTTACTTTGAAGGGCCACTCCAAGCACCAGAAGCACTACACTGCTCTGTAGTGGTTATAGTGCCAAACGCACCCTAGCACTCCCATTGTTACAAGTCAAACAGTTTTAGAATGGTTTGAATTGTTACCTTGGGCCTACAATGTATCGGTCCCTGCCTCAAAATTTTACGACATACAGTTAAAAGCTCTCTCTCTGAGCTAAGTTTGGCTGTGCTGGGCTGATATTATTGCTTGAGAGGGATCAGCTAATTAGTTAGCTCTAAGCTAATTAGTTAGCTCCTCAATTCAGTGCTTAGCTCAAGAAAGCTAATGGAACCTCATGCTTAGTAACTCATGTCAGACATAGTGAAAGCAGACCCCAGTCAAAAGTCAAAGCATTCTAAAATAGTTTCTAAAATAGTTTGTCTATTCACAATTGGGGGCCGTAGGACACTCCTGGCACCATAACCACTAGAGTTTGCTGTAGTGCTTATAGTGCTTGAAGTGGGTCTTTTTATAATAGATTGCTTAAGGCTAATGAAAACCAATTTAGAGAAGGAGGTTGTCTGAAATATAAAACTTAGTGAAAAAATCTTAGTGAAACAAATAAACATAGAGGACATCTAGTTATACCAGATTCACCATGTTTTCCCAGACACCAAGCAGCATGCGTTGGGGGAAAAAAAATTCTGAAATTTTCTTCCCTGCAGTATTTAGCATTCATATGCTGCAAGAAAAAGTCAGTAACTAAGCATGATGCTCCTTTGCGATCCCTCCTTAAGTAATGAATAGATTTATTAATTGCACTATATTAATTGCTCATAATGTTTCTTTTAGTGTACTTCTAATCAGTATGCAGGGATGGTATGTCGAAATAGAACAACAGTAAAAGGTGGTTCTCTGGCAACCTTAGAGACCGTTTACAGAATCTTGCCCACAATTTGACACTGTTTTTTTAGATACTGTATATTATCACCAATATATCCCTCCTTCAACAATTTGTGTGAATCAAAATTAGAAAATCTGATATGTGACTACGGTCTTATATATACTGTGAAAACAGCACCATTTATTATCAATGAAGTTATATCTTTCTGAAAATAAAAGAGGACTATACAACAGGACAGCCACACACAAATTCTAATCTAAAACTTCAGACTTTAACATTGTGATTCGAGGCAGGAATAAAAAATAAAAATGTTTGTACTTTTCGGAACAGGAGCTAATAGCAATGAATGCCTAGTATTTAATAGGTCACCGAAGCACATTATAATATGGTCCTGCCAATAAACCCTTTTTTAACTAAAACTCCCAATAGTAACCGAATTCAGCGTACATGTGTTGTTATGAACACAGCATACAAAATAAGTGCATTTACTTACAGATTTTCAACATGTTCACAAATCAATGCAAATTTATTTGACCGTATTTGCTTGAGAATCTTTGTAAAGCAGGGGTGGATTTTGCACAAATCACTGTTTGCATAGAGATTTAGAGCTTTCCCAAGTATTTACGTATTACGGATTCTTTCTAGTTACAGCAAGCTGCTATTTTGAGTATAGGTGCAGAAATAGCCAGTAATATATACAGTAAATATATATATATATGAAACGGGGGGAAGGCTGCACTCACCTGAACATGCATAAATGGGGTGCTGCTGGGGGCCAATTTATACAATACACAAGATCCAGCCATTCGCTTATCTACTAAACAGCAACTTCAATGTTGACAGATTTTATTTTTTTTTTTTAAAAACACCTAATCTAGGCAAAAATAATGGCGGTTTAGTTACATTAAATGATCATACATTGCATAAGCCTGCCACAATGTATGATCATATAATGTAACTAAACCCCCATTATTTTTGCCTAGATTAGGTGTTTTTAAAAAAAACTAATACAATCTGTCAACATTGAAGTTGCTGTTTAGTGGATAGGTGAGTGCGCTGGATCCTGTGTACAGTATATATATATATATATATATATATATATATATATATATATATATATATATTTCTTTATTACAAACAACATAATTATTAATCAACATGAACGTGAAAAAGATAGTTACATAGTAATATAGGCAAAAAAGATTCTGGTCCGCCAAGTTCAACCTATCCACTGTTAAAGGGATACTTCAAGTAACATAGAGGGTGCTGTAGTGGTTATAGTGCCAGGGGTGGCCTGTCACCCTCCTGGCGTAAGCAGTCAAACTTTTTTAGAAGGGTTTGACTTCTTACCTCGGGCCAGCCAGGTGCCACTACATGCTTCCACTACATCTTTTCAAATAGTTTCAAACCGTACATGCGTCCCGCTGTGCAATGATCCCAGCTTTCAGAAGTGCAGGAAGCTACTGGATCTTCCGGCTTCCTGGAAGACGTGGTCAGTGCCACAGGCAGTGGTGTATCCTGGTTTTGTGCTGCCCTAGGCAGGACAAAACTCAGGCGCCCCACTCCCCCCGCGCCCCCCCCACCCAACCCTCCCCCCCGCCCCACCTTCTAAATACACACACACAGTCAGACACAAACACACACACAGTCAGACACACACACACACAGTCAGACACAAACACACACACAGTACACAAACACACACACAGTCAGAGACACACACAGTCAGACACAAACACACACACACACAGTCAGACACAAACACACAGTCAGACACAAACACACACAGTCAGACACAAAACACACACACACAACACACAGTCAGACACAAACACACACACACACAGTCAGACACACACACACAGTCAGACACACAGTCAGACACATACACAGTCAGACACACACACACACATACACACCCGCAATTCAGACACGAACACAGTCAGACACCACACAGTCGAACACAGTCAGACACATACACAGACACAAACACACACACAGTCAGACACACAGACACACACACACACACACAAACACAGTCAGACACATACACACACAGTCATACACATACACAGACACAAACAGTCACACACACACAAACACAGTCAGACACAAACACACACACACAGTCATACACATACACAGACACACAGACACAGTCAGACACACAGACACAGAACAAACAGTCAGACACAAACACACATACACAGTCAGACACAAACACAGTCAGACACAAACACACACACACATACACAGTCAGACACACGCACACACTCACAAACACACAAACAGACACAAACACACACAGTCAGACACAAACACACACACACAGTCAGACACAGACAAACACACACACAGTCAGACACACACAAACACACACACAGTCACAAACACACACACTCACAAACACAGTCAGACACATACACACACAGTCATACACATACACAGACACAAACAGTCACACACACACAGTCAGACACAAACACACACACACAGTCATACACATACACATACACAGACACAGTCAGACACAAACACACAGTCACACACTCACAAACACAGTCAGACACAAACACACACACACACATTAACTTTTTTTTAAAATTTAAATCCCCCCCCCAACCTCCTTACCTTTGGGAGTGCTGGGGGGGGGTCTCTCTCCCTGGTGGTCCGGTGGCTGCAGGTCGGGCTGGGCGGCGCTGGCAGGCGGGCGGCTGGCGAGGGTGCACTACCTATGAGCTGACTGCTCAGCTCCCTCGCGCGCCGGCTGCAGAGTGAGGCTGGGAGCCGGAAGATGACGTCATCTTCCGGCTCCCAGCCTCACTCTGCGGCGCGCGAGGGAGCTGAGCAGACAGCTCATAGGAAGTGCTCCCTCGCCAGCCGCCCGCCTGCCAGCGCCGCCCGCCCGCCCGCTCGGGATGTCTGTTAGCCGCAAGGCTAACTAGGCATTTGCCCTGGGCATTTGGGGTGCGGCGTTTTTTGCCGCCCCCTGAAAAATGCCGCCCAAGGCAAATGCCTTGTTTGCCTCGCGGCTAATACGCCCCTGGCCACAGGTAAGTTGTAAAACCATTTTAAAGTTTGACGACTTAACCTGGGGTGGTAATAGATCACTCCTGGCACCATAACCATTAAAATGTGCTGTAGTGGTTATTGTACTTGGAGTGTTCCTTTAAAACCTAGAGAGTTTAAACCCAAGACTCTGTCTTTCTTATAACTGGAGTTCAGAATCCACTAGAGTCAAGAGTTCCTTATCTCTCGGTCTTAAGAATCTCTTTTCTCTGTTGAGTTCTGCAATCTTTCTATCCTAATACACTGGGTGACACTTACAAAATAATGCCTATTTTAAGAAATAACCTTTTAATATATTTGTGATTTAAATATCAAAATGCCTTCTTTAGAATTCATGCAGCAATATTGCTTTAATATTATCGCTAGAATAATACTGAACACAATTATAATCTGTCATTTCTACAAACATATCACAAACGGAATACAGACACAACTGCTGTTATGTTTAAATAGAACGTACTTTTTTTTCTGCAGACACAATACTATCATTTTTTTAACAATTCCAATGTATATGCATAAGGATGCATGTTTTTGAAAAGTTAAGTAAGGATTTTTTTGTGTTAAGCAAATCATGACATCTGCCAATCTTTTAAATTCCAAAGGGTGAGGATCCCAGCCTGTTAAAATACTCCCAAACATGACAGGCTTAATGTCAAGTTTATAACAAAAAAGGACAATTTTATTGTGGTTATTCAGTATTATGTCACTCTTTCAGTCAAAAAGCTAGTTTTTTGTTTTTTTCTCATCTCATTTATAGTATTTGAAATACCAAACAGATTTTTACATATCTCCTGAGCTTCGAGCTTCCTTCCTACACCCTTATTCATTCCTTAAGGAAACTCTCTTAAATCCTTCCAATTTAGTATCTATCTGAGACCAGACAAATGTTTTACTAGACTATTTTCTTCAGTTGTTATAGAGTTGTTTCTAACTCTAAACATTTGAGTTTAATTACTGCTTAGAATATTTTCTATATTCTTATCCGAGAAGCATCACGCTTGAGCCCATTGGGCTGAATAAGGAATTACTTCCGATGCTGCCCCTTAAAATCACTTGTACAGATCTGTAATTGGCTCTGTAGTTTGGTCTTTTTGTTAATAAGCAGCTTACTTTCTCTCCCACTAGACTCAACCCACCACTTTTGTTTCATGAATTTTACAAAGGATTTTAATAGATGCTTTAGGCAATGCAAAATGTTACATGAAGGAAAGCATTAATGCTGCAGCCTTGACACAAAGGACGTGTGAATGGCTGCTTATCATTACCGTCAAGTCTCAAAATTTTCATTAGGAGTTGTGGAGGACAAAAGGGGAAAAAAGTGCAGCTATATCAAGGAATATTAGCCATCAATGCATACCCAATTATAATTTATCTGCATGTCCCGTTAACTATTCTCTTACGCTATCCATTTTCATTTTTTTTTTTTCCAACAATGGATCTTATTATTTTCTCAAATAGTTTATAACTGGTCATTTGAAACACCAATTAATTTGTACCGATCCCCTATGTATCTTTCCCTAACTTAAAGAAAGCGTAAAAATTAAGTCGGGGGATAACTTTTGAATAAGGACTATATAAATAAGGACTATATATAATCTGTTTCTTTATATACTTTTACTGATACGTTTAAGAAATGGATACAAATATTATAAAGGAAGGCAGGTGCTATTTTGAGTGCCATTTGCTAAATGGGTAAAAGGGTTTTAAATTATTTACACACTGGGTTAAATGGGGCATGTGCCTTTAGTAAAAGGGAAAGGGACACTATAGTGTTATGAATACAGTTTTGTATTCCTAACACTATAATGTTCCTTTAAATAATAGATTTTGTTTACCATTATTATATAAGGGTGGATTATGTTACAGTCAAAACTGGCTTTGGTTTTAAAATCTTGAAGAAACTGCTCTTCAAGATATATTTTACATTTTAAATTTGCAAATATATCAAACATGTCAAAAGTCTTTTTGGGACATGGGGGAAGGCTCTCAGATCAATATTTGACTCTTCAGGTGGAAATAATAGATGCATTGCAATCTTGCCTTCCTTCTATTGTAAGACAAATATAATTGATCCCTTATTAATGAGCGTTTTACCGCTCCGGTCCTCCACACAGACGAGAGCAAGCTGCAGTGAGAGCGTAGGCTAACCGCAGAACTCCTGGTGCTACGAGCCATGGTTTCCCCAATACTTACATTGCCATTCAAAAGCATACTGACAATTGCTGAAATGCAATAGGCCTGGTATACATGGGTGTGTTTCTCCATCAGAAATCAATTGTATTTTGTTTACTATGTAGTGAAAATATGCATTATGCAAGACTTAGTTATGTAAAGTCTCTGAACCACAATATAACCTACAACCCGGAGATGTGGATCTGTAGTATTGCTTTTCAATTAGTGCTTCAATTATTCTAATTACTCATGGAATCTGCTAATTACACATTCAAATGATTCATTTTGTGTCACACCATTCTTTATTAGAATGTATAGCTTGTGTACTAATAATGACACCCTGATGGTGTCAGATGAACAGTATGGTGGAGGTATGGCGAGGCTGGGTTAATTATATCTAAGTCAAAATGTATTATAATGCTAATGACAACAGTTTGGCACCACAGATTTATTTTGGTTGGAATTAATTAATTGCTCTATTTAATAATGTGTTATAATGTTCATCAAGCATGGCCTTTTGGAAATGTGTATTTAAAGGGTTACTCCAAGCACCATGACCACTTAAGTGTTTTGAAGTGGTCATGGTGCTTGTAGCCTATATGTGCAGCGTTTTGCTATGTAACACTACAGATACAGAGTTTAATCCCTTTGCTGTCAGTGGTGTCTGTAGAGCATCATTAGACAGCCAAGAACAAGAGTTCCAGGCTGACTAATGTCAGCCCTGTGCATATTG